CAACAACTTTTTGATTATGGAATTGAAGTAGGTACCATTCCTATCAAGTGTGACAATACTAGTGCTATTTGTCTCACTAAAAATCCCATCCAACACTCTAGAACTAAGCACATTGAAATAAGACATCACTTCATTAGAGACCATGTCACTAAGGAAGATATAGTTTTAGAATATGTTGATACTTTGCATCAATTAGCGGATATCTTTACAAAACCCTTAGACAAGGAAAGGTTTTGGACACTTAGAAGAGAATTAGGTTTAACTAACCTATCTTTACTTAGTGTTTAAAATAATTTAGCACTTTTAATAAATACTGAAAAATGCTTATAATAATAATTTTTGATTGCATTCTTGCTATTAGTTAGGGGGAGTTTATGATTCTTAATGAAAATTAATTTTATGTTCAAATAATGTTTAAAGATTAATTTAACTGTTTGAACATAATTATTTTTCAATATATGAATTGCCTATACCACTAGAGAAGATTAATTTAGCATTTTATGTGCTTAAAAGTCGGATTTTAGCATTTTTGTGCAGAGGGAATCGATCCCCCCATGAGGGAACCGATTCCTCCTTTGAAGGGGAACCGATTCCCCCCACAGGGGAATCGATACCCCCCTGGGGTTTTGTTAAATCGGGCAGAACACCCCAAAAACCCCAAAATCCTCATTTTTCTTCTTCTTTCGCCGTTTATCACCCTATAAGCACTCAAATCTTCATTCTTGCCTCAAATCATTGATTTTAATCGGAAATCACTTCAAATATCATCTCCTAAACTTGCAATCATCATTAAAATCGTGCAAACAACATCTAAATCCCCTCAATCTTCATCTTTCAAGGTAAATTTTTCTAAACTCTCTATTTCATTGATTTTGAACATAGGATTAATTTTAATTAGTTCTAGCTTGAAATAGTGATCGGGCATTGATTATTTCGTGATTAGAAACTAGATGTTACAACTAATTTCATCAAAAACACAAGAATTTTTCAAAAATTTTAATTTTTCGAAATAAAAAAAAATGTTAATTTTCAAATTATTGTGTTTTGATTAAATTATGTTGGTGTTATAAAAACTATACATATATTGTTTCTTAAAACCATATTTTTCAAAAGTTTTTCAAAAACTTTGCCCATTAGGATTGATTTAGAGAACCTTGAAATATTGAGGACTCATTTGAGTTTTGGGATTAATTGAATTGCATACATTTGTTTTTAAAATTGCAGGTTATCAATTCTATTCCGATTTCCTAAACCATGTCCAATCCTAAACGTTCTAGGTCTTCATCTAGTCGTTCTAGTCATCAAACAAATCCTCCTCCTATTCCTCAAAATCCTATTCCAAATCTTGATCCTAACTTGACTATCCAAAATTCTTGTTTCAATCAACCGGGTCCTAAAGATTATCGTTATTGGTTTTACCAATATTTTGACTCATATAAGATTAGGGAAGAACGTATCCCATCTCTTCAAACTATGGTTGATATTAACTTTAAATATCTCCCTATCTTGCACGAATGGAAATTTGATAAACTTTTCGAACTTGAACCCATTGTCTATCATCAACTTGTTCGTATCTTCTACTGTAATGCCGTTTGTATCAAAAATCGTGACAAAACCAAAACCATAGGAGTGCGTTCCTACCTCCTAGGTCAATATTTCCATCTTGATCCTGATTACATAGCCAATGCCTTAGGCTTGGATAATGAAGGTTTATCAAACGAAAAACAAGTTTTAGGCTCACGATATAAACGGAATGATAGTGCAAGTGTTTTAGATCTCTATGAGCGTTTTCTTCATCTTATGATCACTTGGTGGTTTCGACCATCCGGGGGTCGTTATTCTACTCTTAGAGCTTTAGACCTTTGGTGGTTGCATTGTTTTGAAAATAATATAAAAATAAACCTTTCCGAGATTATCTTTGCTGAGATCGTTGAAACCGTTAACTTAGTGCCAAATAAGAAACTCTGTTCTTCACTAGTTTACGGTTGCATCCTTAGTAATCTCTTTTTTAAAGCCGAACTCCAAGTTGGTCTAGATGCCTCATTTCCTCTTAAGAAACAAATTAATCTTCTTTCTTTAACAAGAGCGGGATGGGTCAAAAATAAGGAAACCGGTGCATGGGTTCGATCTTCTACTCCGGGAGCTAGTTCTTCACAAGCTCCACCCGAAGCTGACGAAGATCCCGAGTTTGAACAATTAATGAGGGATATTGATGAAGCTGAAGAAGAACCTGAACAACCCGAGGAGCACGCACAACAATCGACTCAAATGCCTCCATATTTTCAATCCTTTATGGAGACATTTGATTTCCGTTATGCGACAATGGATTCGCGCTTTTCCTCTATAGAGTCTCATTTATCCACAATGGGAGCTCAACAATTAGAGATTCTTCAGGAGATGCGTGCAAACAATGAAGCAACCAATGCTCGTATTAATGAACTAACTCATAAAATGGCTGCTATGCGAGCCCGTTTTCCTCCTACCGATCCGGATGCTTGATTTTGTGTTTAGCTTTACAACTTTGAACAAAATGAATATTTTTTCAACATTTTGAATTGTTTGATTTTGTGAACTGTTGGATTTTGGATTTATGAACTTATATGTTTGGTGTGTTTTATTCGTTATTGCATCATTTACATCATTATTAGCAATATGACCAATTTTGCCATATCACATTATTTATGAATATTGATTACGGAACTAATGGCTAACGTTTCTCTTAATTGTGATCTTAGCAGCTTATGCATACATATACCTAATCAAATGGCTTAATATTTTTCACGTTTATTTGAATCTTTTTGATTTAACAAAAAGGGGGAGAAGTGTGTGTTTTATGTTTTAAGTTGTTTTAAGTGTGTGTTTTTAAAATGATAAATGGGAGAAGTGTTAAAGTAAGGGGGAGTAAAGAGTAATTTCAAAACTTGATTTCAAAATCTTAAAATTACTAAAATGTTTTGTTATATCAAAAAGGGGGAGATTGTTGAAAACATTTTGATATTTCGATATAACAAATTAAGTTAAATGAATTTTAAGATTTTCCAAAATGATTTTCTAAGTATATTCGATATAATTATTCGAATATCAAAACATTACTCAAAATATTTCAAAAATCATTTTTAATCCTTACTTAAGTGTAAAATTAAGTTTTAATCTTAAAACAATTTCAAAATAATCTTTCAAAGTATTTCGAACCATGTCAAACCCAAAATTTCCAGATTGCTCAGAGGGAACCGATTCCCTCCCATAGGGGGTACCGATTCCCCCCTGAATGGTTTGACTCCGAGATTTCCAGAATGCTCGGAGGGAACCGATTCCCCCATAGGGGGTACCGATTCCCCCTGTTCAACGGTCGAAATATTTGAATTTTACACTTAGGGAACCGATTCCCTATAAGGAGGAACCGATTCCCCCCATGCTCCAAGTTGTTTTATTAATTGTTTTCACACTAAAACGGCTATATTATCTTCATTAATTATCCCCAACGTTAAGAAGTGATTCAATGTGTATTTAAACAAGTTCTGAAGCCCTTGATCAGCAAGAAATCATAGAGAAACAAGAGAGAAAGCATCAAACACAAAGTTTGTGCAATTCAAGCCAATTTTCATTCAATATTCATTTTGCTTTCAAAGAACACTTATTGTGCTCATTTGTAATTTTCTTTGAGTGTTCTTTTCTTGTTCTAGAATTGTGCAAACATCTTACCTTGTGAGGTTTTCTTGTAAGTTTGCAAATTTGTAATCTTCTCTTTGGGAAAAAAGAGTGTTCTCAAGAGTTGGGGTATACTCTTGAGGGAATTGTAAGGTTATCTCTTTGGCCTCAAAAGAAAGAACAAATTAGTGAATTTGTTGGAAAATCCTTAGTGTGGATAGCTAAGGTAGTGGACGTAGACTTTATTTGAGAAAGTCGAACCACTGTAAATCGTTGTGCAATTACTTTTTAATTTTCTGCAAAAGCTTCCACAAAAATTTTAATTGCCAATTCACCCCCCTCTTGGCCGATTCCGTCAATCGATTAACTCAACAACTTGATATTTTGATTATTATTCAATATAAAATAATTTAAAATATAAAATAATTTAAAATATAAAATAAAAACATAAGGTAGTTGAACGCCACCGTCGGTTGTCGTCGACCGCCATAGATGGTGCCAATTCAGTCCCAAATTTCATGAGTCGCTTCGTCTCGACATCTTGAGTCCGAATCCGACCTTTATTTTTCATAACTTTCTCTGAAGTCTACAAATTAGAGATCGAAATTGAGGATGTTGAAATGTTTCAGTCGTGATTTGCGGGTTTTGAGACATTTTTCGATGAAACAACCACTAAATTCCGACTTAGGGGTCGAGGCGAACCGTCCCATGAAATTTAGATCGAACGACCATCATCTACGACGGTCAATGGCGTTTGGCCACCTTCTATTTTTATTTTATATTTTACATTATTTTTATATTTAATAATAAATAAAAATAGCCACATCATATAAAAATAATAATAAAATAATTCAGAGTGGTCAAAGCAGGATCGATTCAAAAGTTCAGTGAGTAAATTAAAAAAATTAAAAGTACAATGAATAAAAATAGTATAGAGAGTAAAACTAAGTAGAAATGGTGTATTTTACCCTAAACCTTAATCAATAAATCTAGTAAAGTTTTATTTAGTTTACCATACTAATATGGATAATTTAAATTTCAGCCAAAAATTTCCAAATCGGTATAATTTTAAAAATAAGATAAATTAATTTCAAAGTAACAAAGTTGGACTTCCAAGAATAAAAAGGGTGTTAATTAATTCTCTTGTTTCCATAACTTTTAATTGTATAATAAAAAATTATAAATCAATCAATAAATAAACGTCTCTCTGAAACCATGTTGCTTTGTGGTTATTAAATAAAAATCAACCCCACCATTGATGTACAGCAACAGCTTCATCCCTTAACTTGCCATACAAAGCCAAGCATTCCCGGTATGCCCTTTTGCTTATGTTCTTTCTTCCACCAATTCCTTTAGGGTTGCATTCCAAAAAACAGTGCATCCACCAATCTAATTGCCTTGCTCTTCACCATATCTTCAACCACCTCCGCCTCCACCTTCATCACTACATACTCTTCCTCCTTCACGTTCTTCATCAACCAAACCGACATCCCCGTCATCTCTGGCACTGCCTTTTTCTTCAAAGCCTCTTTGGTCAGTGTCTCAATCTTATACATCTCGAATTCCATGTTCCGTGTCGGGTAGAGCTTGTAAAACCAGCTGCTGCTACCGCCGTCTTTCTCCGGCGAGCCTACATCTATGAAAACCCGACGAGGGTAGCTTTCGAGAGTGTCCCCAAATAAATCTGGCAAATATTTGGTTCGTTTGCGGTAGGTTTTCGATGTACCCAAGGATGCTCTCAGTGGTTCGAGAAGAACATATTCTAGTTTCTTCAATGCCGCTTTCTTTGCCTCCGATGTATTATACCCGAAGAGGCACCTTTTTGTGGTTGAGGTTGATCGAACGTTTTTGTGCTTTTTCATTACAAAAACATTCATTGACTAGAATTTCCTGTAATAAACAATCTTAAAATCAGACGGATTGTTGAATGAATGCGTAAACCATTCACCCAGGTCTTGAACAAAAACAATGTCACCCACTTTGAGGCTACGGTCAATGAACTCTAATGACGATTGAAAGCTTTTGGTGAAGATGAAATCAATGGACTCGTCAGGGATACAACTTTTTTCTTGAGAATCATTTACAACACTGAATTCCATATCGATTTTTGTCGATAACAAAGAACCCTGAATGGTTTCTTCATCATATTCATCGCTCAACAATAGTCCTTTTTTCCCCGTTTTAAGAACACCTTCATTGTTCAAATCATTGAACAAAATTGGCAGGAACTCCAGATTAACAGGATCAGCGGCGGCAACATCATCATCATCATCAGAGATAATTTCAGGCTTCAGAACAGTTTCGTAGTTGATGGTAAAGTTAAGTAACATAATGGTCAAAGCGAAAACTATCAAGAACCGACCAAGGAGCTTAAAAACCCTTGAGCGAAGAACCTTGACCATCAAACGTGTACTAGAAGAATACAAATTAATGTCATTTTGCCAAGCTTTACGCTTGTGGTTATGGCATTTGGTTTCCATTGATGGAAACTGTTGATTTTAAAAAACACAAACAGAAAAGAGCTTAGAGAACAACAAGAATCCAATCAGTTGTAGTACGAGAAACAGAACAGAAAAGAAAAAAAATGTTGAGATTAGAAGATGAAAGGGAAAAGAAGAAAAAAGAGTAGGCGAGAAAGAGAGAGGGAGACCAAGGAGAGGCAAAGTTAGCGGGTGCAAAATCGGGCGGCGGTGTGATTCCCACCCACGAGAGCAAGACGGGTACTTTGCGTTCTTGACCAAAGTAATTGCATTTCCTTCATACGCGGAACCTCCATCGTTATACCTTTTTATTCCCAAATTTACACATTCATGCAATCATATGTATGGCTAAAATACACTGACAACCACCAGATATTGATTGATTTTCATTCAAGCAAACATTGGTGGTGGCTTTGGTTCTGGGTGAGTTTTTATCTAGAAAAGGGTGATTTAAGGGTAGAAATTATAGGTTTCTGCTGTAGTTATGGACTAACATTCCAAAAAATCCATGGTTTCTCGACAAATATAAGTCTTTTATTTTCTTACAACCTCTTTACGTTATAAGTACCGCACCCAATTACGCAATGCACAGCCTCGAATCTCACAAAAGAAATTATTGTTGTGTCAAATTTTGTTCATTCTTCGTTCAATTAAATAATAAAAGTAATGTCTCACTTCCTTAAAATTTTTAATTTCAATTAGTTTCAAATTACATCTCACATTAATCTAAATTTTATTTAGGAATTTTAAACAATTTTGTTATAGTACAGTGGTGAGTATTTATATTTGTCACATTTGTTCCAGGTTCGATCCCCGATAATAAATCCATAATTTGACAAGATATTAAAGTTTTCAAAAATAATTCATGCTTAAAGAAATAGATGAGGATGGGATAATAAACCCATAATTTGACAAGATATTAAAGTTTTCAAAAATAATTCATGCTTAAAGAATTAGATGAGAATGGGTTGAATACGATTGAAGGAAATGAGGCTAGTTTATACATGATTTTCAACTTTAATTTTGTGGAGTTTGTCTTCCATTTTTTCTCCTCGTTCCGTTTTCTTCCTTCCACAAATGGTATGTCATTTAAACTTATAGTTTTCTTATGTTTTGGCAAAAATAGCTTACATGTTTTTTATATAGAGGCTGAAGTGGCCCTTTTAAGGGGATAAAGAGGCATGATTGTCTTCAAGTGGAGTCCGAGTTGTATGTTAATCTATCAATGGAAAAAGACTCGATTATACGAGTAGAAGCAAATATAGTACTTTTCTCGGTAGAGGTTGAGGCAGGAGATAGGGAGGCATAATAGCTCTTAAGTGGAATTTGAATTGCACGTTAATCTTCCAATGAAAGATGAGATGATTCCTCGCTGATAGACGGATATAGTTTTCTCAACGAATGATGAGGTAGGAAAATTTCTTCGATTGAAGAGAAGATAATTCTTCCTTTAGAGATTGAAATAAAAACTACTCTTCTAATGAGGATAACATCAAGATCAGTGGTGCTAGATGTAAATCATACTGTTTTATTTTTTAGGGGCAACAAGTAAAGATGAAGACTAGGGTGTTGAGAAAACAAGATTCAGATTAAGAAAACATTGAAAGTGTAATACCCTAATTTAGGGGCTAAAATTAAGAAATTATAAAGTGGTGGATTTAATTTGGTATTTTAAAAGAAACAGGGGATTAAATTGTAAATTTTTAAAGTTGGCATACCGTTTTATGAAGTGCAGGAAGTTCAGTGACTAAACTCTTGGTTTAGCCAATTTCCTATAGGAGAGAATTATAAACTGTCCCCCGTGCGCAGAAACATAAAATTTTCCAGTTTTCCCTCTCAACAACCCAACTTCCAACTCCGATCTACTCGCCGTCCGACCTCCAAACGACAAGCCGAAACCACCATCGTGTTCGTTGTCAATCGAGGAACAAAACCCCTCAAACTTTTCGTCGTGAATCATCGCCGTTCGTCGTGAATTTTAGTCGGAAGTATCGTCGGTAATAACTCGGTTTTAGTTGGTTTTTCATCGATTCACGACGATCGGGTCATCCGTTTACGACACCTCCCGCACCATCGTGTTCGTTGCATCGTTCCGAGTTCGCCGGTGTCATCCTTGGTCTCCGTTGACGGCGGCGCGTGAGGAGGTGAAGCGGTCAAAGTTTCCGATTTGTTGAAATCGAGCTCCCTGCCATTCAAAATTGTGAACCGAGCTTTGTAAGTATCTCGAAATCGTTCAAAATAATTTTTAGAAATTTTTCCGGGATTTTAGCACTGTTCACACGCCCCCACGCGCCGTCACTGCGTGTGGGGAAGGAAAAAGTGACTGGTTTGACCGGTTTTGGAACTGTTTTGACCGATCACAACCCGACCCGACCCGTTGACCCGACCTGACCCATTGACCCGACCCGTTGACCGTTGACCGGCGTTGACCACCGTTGACCAAAATTTGACCGGCTTTGACCGGGCATTAAACGACCTTTGACTTCGACCGAGTATACCTATCTTGACATTTTTCGACGTTCCAAATCCGATTCCGCTGTCCGTTTTTTGAAATTCGAACCCGAAGGCCTCGAAATTGCCGGTCAAACCCGTTGACTTTGATTTTGACCGAAAATTCCAAATTTTCGAAAAGTCATATTTTGTGCTTTCGACGTGTTGAATCCGAATCTGAAGTCCATTTCGCCAAATTCGAACCCGGTAAGCCATCTTTCACTGATTTATCACTCGATTCGATCCGTTTATCGTAATTAAGCTCCGTTTCTGATATAATTTATGTTGATATGTATCTGAGGAATTATTAGAAGTTGAATTGAAGATCAAAGGCGTTCGAATGGAATTTTAATGGTCGATCAGTATTGCACGAAAATCGAGGTAATAGTTTACTACCTCTTTATGCTTTATAGAACATGTTGGTATTGGTAAATGCATGAATGGAAATGTTTGGTCTCATATGTGTAATTAATGAAGTTCTACACTCGATCTGAATACGGTAAAAAGGTTCAGTAATTGATTATGGTTCAGATGACTTTTATAAGAAATCAAGGGATTGTTAGAATTAAATTACAAGTTATGTGCTTAGTGATAAAGAAATCAACCTGGATCTGTAACTTACAATTTATTTCATCAAAGGTTAAATGTTAAAGGTATTTGGATGAGAAATTATGAGAATACTCCGGTAGGGTAAAATTACGAAAACACCCTTGTGTTATAAAAAGACAAGATTGGAATATGGAAGTTGGATAAGAGGTTTTTACAAACATATTGATCTGATAAAAAAATATTGAGGTGCATAAGAAATGTTAGTTTTACTTGGATATTTTGAATAACAGGTTTTAACCCAAGAGGATTTGAGCAAGATACTAGAAGTCTGTTAAGGAATCTTTTCATGATTAGAGAATTGGAGAAAGCAATTAACCATAGTATCTTTAAATTATAATTATTTTCGTTAAGAGCCAATATCGAAATTATCTGGTTAAGAAATTACAAAAATGCCCTTGAGAGATAAAATAGTCTGAATTGACCTTGAATGAGAAAGTACTTTGAGGATTTGTACTTAACTCGATTAAGTAAGAATTTAATTGTAAGATCCTGTCTTTGTACAGAAAATTCATGATATTCCGTTTGTAAAATCTGAGAAGACATTTGACTCGAAAATATCTGAATAATGAGTAAATACTTGAAGAATAATTTATCGAGGGTATTCTGCTGTCAGAATTGTTCGTAAGGACTAAAGTAAATGATAAGATTGAATTAAATAATAAGACCGGATGGAAGGAAAAGATTGAAATACCGTAGATCTATAAAATGACCATAATACCCCTGTAATGTAAATGACTAAAGAATATCACCAAGCTTAGGAATGATTGAATATGCTCGAGTTCTGAAATAAATGGAATAAAATTGAACATCAAAATTACCAAAATACCCTTATGGCCTAAATTAAGTAAATGTCTTGGATTAATTAAGGAATCCAAGTAAGCATAAGTATTGGACGTTTGTTCGACAAATCAACCACGAAGACCAAATTGAATAGAATAGAAGTACAACATGTATCTGAAATTCAGGAACGTTTGAATTACTCTGAAAAATCCTAAAGTAACTGGAATGGACATGAATGCTAAATGAACTAGGTAACCTCAATGACTGAGGATTTAATAAGTGATTTGGATAAGTCCGGAAACTCTGATGAGTTTACGTAGTGTACAATTACAATGGGTTATGAACAAATTAATCAAGTACGTCAGCATTTCATGATATTGTGAAAGCGTAGAAATAAAATAAAGACATTGGAAGATTTATTCAGCGATGATTCCGAAAATGGTCTATGGACTAGAAATTGTGGTATTAAAGAGTAAATACCCTAGAAGGAAAATGAATTGACCAGTCGACATAGATTGTTAAGGTTCTGAATATGCGTTCTCAAGTTGTTCGATTATCCGATCAATTGACATGGATGTAAAGGATTCTGAATACCCTTCTGATTACGTACAACTTCTGAAAACTGTCCGAATAAGATAATATTCTGATAATTCACATTCTGAATAACTGATGATTCTGTCAGTTAATGAACTCTTCCAATAGTGATTCTAAATTCCAACATTCTATCGACATATTGAAGAAATGTGTTTCTCTGCCTGATACAGTACCTCTAAATAATACCTGTAAACTCTTGTGTGTTCCCTAATTACATGAATATTTTATCTGATTTCAAATTTGAATTATGTTATGATACCTGACCTGGATTCTGATCTGATATTGACCTGGATTCTGATCTGATATTGACATGGATTCTGATCTGATACATGACCTGGATTCTGATCTGATACTTGACTTGAATTATGTTTTGATTTTTGATATATCCGTTTACGGACGAAACACGTTTTATTGGGGGGTATTGTTGGAGGAAGATTGCTTAGAGGTTCCTCGGCTGTGTGTTCAGGGCCTTACTTACCGGTTCCTCGGCTGTGTGCTCAGGGCCTTACTGGACGTGACGGGGTTGTATGGTTCTGGGGAACCTACACATTTTGTTCGTGACGGATGGGGGTATATATATATATATATATGTTTTAAAAAGATCTAAAAAGTTACATGGTTTTTGGGAACACACTAGAAAACCTATTCTGATCTCCTTAACTCAATCATCCGAAATATTTCTCTGAACTGAAAGCTCATTGTCCGTTACCATCTGAAATATCAGTAGGATCTCTGCTCAGTATAAAAATCTGTAAATGTTCGGAAATAATAAGGATATGTATGTTTATCTGTATCTGCACGTTCATCAGCATCATCTGGTAGT